AATATTGCAGATTCTCATTCCCATCCTTAAAATTACTGCATACCAAACGCCTCCTTAAATATCGAGTTTTTTGAATCCTATTAGAGCAAGAAAACATGGCTAAAACTCCTAAACATATTTATGACCCGTTTAGTTCATTGATTCGAGTTGAGATGTGATTTTATGTGATGTTTTTATTGTAGCAAAAAAGTTAAGTCCCGTTCATTTCACCGATTCGAGTTTCGTTACAGTAAAAAAACTCTAAAAACAGTCACATTTAACTTTTTTGTTAGAGTAAAAAGATCTCACATAAAGTCACATCTCAACTCGAATTAAAAACTCGAATCAACAAACTAAATGGGCCCTTAGATGTGACTGTTTCTGAGAGCTTTTTATTGTAATAAATTTGAATTTTAAACTCGAATCGGTGAAATGAACGGGCCTATTTGTTTTATGTTGTCTTCATCTCGCTCAGCATTCTGAAATATGCAAGTGGAGAATTATTTGATCAGCATTCTCGAGATTCATTTATCGGAAAAATTGTAAGTGACATTAGGTACTAATTGATCTTTTTAATAACGTTGTTATTCATTATTATTGGGGACGCAACGTTGTAAATGTGGTAATAGGATAGAATCGTCACATGTCAAAAAGTAATGGGTCTTTAGAATTCTATCCTAAAAAATTGATCTCTTAAAAAGAGTAATTTACATCGTTTTATCTTATTATCAATGATATCAATCTTATATATTTGGTCAATATGGGATTTCGTTCGCACATTTTCAACAATAATTAAATTATTGTGCAATTGTATCACCAGTGGTAAATAATTTTTTTTTTTTTTAAATTTATGTATCTCTTAAAACGTATGTGGATTTGTACTACATTATCTAACTTTTATTATTATTATTTTTTATTTTTTCAGTTCAAGCAACAACAATTTCTCTGCACCCGCTTGAATGGCCCTGTTCCTGCTGCTTCCAAATGCTCGAAAAGTCCAGGCCTCTACTCATGTTTCTTTGAAGTATGCAACTGCTATTTCTGTAGAAAATAAATTATAGAAATATATGTGTGTACGTAATTTATCTCTATTTGGTATATAAACCGAATCGCTAGAAATACAATGGATAATACTATTGTTCTCTTGATTAATATGTGTGGAATGCACATATAGCCTGGTACGATCTCATGAGAAATTAAATAAATAGAGAAAAAGAAGAAGAAAAACTACCGAAGAAAATGTTTTAAAGTGATACAATATTGCGCAAGAAATAACTTTGAATTTCTGTCGTTTTCTTTACTCATCTATATATGAAAGTAGATATTCATACAATCACTTACTGTTACGTCACATTATATATAATAAGCAACATCTCCGACGACAATACATGCTTTAATTTGTGTGAAATCAAATTAGTGATAAAAACGCTATAAGAGATTTTTAATGAGACATATTTGTAGCTAATTAATAAGGTATATATGAGTCTTAACTTAATCCTTTAAGGGATTACTTTCCAAGTTTCCAACTTAATTTTTTTTTATTGGTCATGTGGGTTATTTTTCTCTTCATGTTCTAGAACTGTTTTATACTTTTCTTTTTATTTATAATATTAAGTCGTTGGATGGCTATTTAGTTTGTGTCAATCTATAGTTCGGACGTGTTTTAATAGACCGATGTGAGTTGTCCACTCTCTTCGGTTAAGAAAAAACTGAGATATTTTTCTTTTTCTTTTTAAAAATTTTAATTTTAGTGGATGCTTGATAAAATTGTTGTCCTTATTATATATATGGGGCAAAATGTCTTTTGCATAGTTAAAGATGAATTTTGCATGATTATAAAAACACAAGTAAGAAAATATAAACCTAACATTCTCAAAAACACAAAGTGGATTCACAGATTTCAATGAAACAGATGAGAGGTTTTTATCATTATTCTTATATGCCAATAGTGACAAATTCACGTCGAGAATAACTCATACAATAATAATAATAATTAGACCTCAAAATATCATTAGTAAGAACTAATGAAAATGAACTTTATCAGGTCGGATCTCAAAACATATACCTATATTACAGGTGTGGTTTTAATGGTTATTTTGATATTTATTATCTATCAATAAGTATCATTATTTTTACTATAAAATATTAATTTGACGATTGTAATAAATCTAATTATTAACTAAAAAATTTTATGACAATTAATGAAATTAGATTCTTATTACGCCACATCATTAAATTTAATTATATATACATATATTATAAGTGCGGTTTTAATGGTTACTCCAATATTTACCTATTTATGGGTATCATTATTTTAGCTATAAAATATTAATATGACGGTTATAATAAATTTGATAGTTGACTAAAAAAATTTATAACAATTAATGAAACTGAATTCTTATCACGTCACGTCATCAAATTTAATTATATATATACATACATTACAGGTGTAGTTTTAATGATTATACTAATATTTATCTATCAATATGTATTATTATTTTAACTATAAAATATTAATGTAACGGTTGTAATAAATTCGATAATAGACTAAAAAATTTATAACAATTAATAAAATTAAATTTTAAATACGTCACATCATTAAATTTTTATATTTAATAATAATGATAAAAACTAAATATCATTAAAAACTCATCCGTATATATCACGATTATAAAAGTTTATAGTTGCCGACAAATGGTCCCAGTTGGTAAAGAGACCACCACGACCCACCTTTTTATTGAATCCACACCGCAACCAATACAAGAAGATAAGGTCCTTAACTTCTTTTTGTTCATTTTTATTTTTTCAGTTTTACCCCCCACTGATCTCTTTCTCTTAAAACATAAGCGCATTGGAATTACTTTTACAACTTGATTTTATAAAAAATGGAAAAAATAGAAATTCGGAGGTATAATCACTCGTATAAAGTTAATAATAGATCTAAATCAATACTACATTCACCAGTCTTGTATTTTAGGGCTTGTTCTTTTGAGTGAAAAACTAAAAAAAAAGGTAATTTGAGTTACAATTTTATTCGAGTTCATGTTCTTTTAAGTTTAAACTCGAGTTCAAATTCGAGTTTAGGACTAAAACTCGAGTTTAAGTTTTTTCTTTAACTCGAGTTCAGAAACCCGAACTCAAATTAATGAACATTATTTTTTCTATTCTTAAAAATGCTATAACTTTTTCGTTTTAATTTTGATTGAGATGATTTTTTTTTCTATGCGTTGACAACGAAAAGACGAATAAACCATATTAAAATTTTTCATCAGCCTTGAGTTTTTATTAAAATACCATCTAAATACAAATTTAAGTTTTGACTCACTCAAACACAAACTCAAAAAGATTCTTATCTTAAACCATAACTTAAATGTACACAACCAACACAAACTCAAGTTACAAATTCAACTCAAATTCAACTCAATAATTATACTCAAGTTAAACTTTAAAAGAACAAGCCTTTAGTGTGATGAAAAATGAACTTGTCATATGTTTCAAATTAGATTTTTTTATGGCATATGGACTACAGATTATTTGTATTCGGAGTATTGTTTATCAAAATTTCAGTAATTATCTATTATACAACGTTCCCGAATCCTTAAATTTTATTTATCATATTTGCATAGCATATTATTATTGATAAGTATTTCGGACGTCCACAAACCCTTTAAAGGCAGTGCTTGAAAATGTTAATAATAACAACAACAAAATAAATATAGATGAAAAAAGAATATATAACATTAACGATTTATAAAGTCGGTGACATGATAATGATATCTATATATATAGACTATATTTCATGTTTATTATAACTTTCCTTGTAGTGGGAGTATGAATTAAACTTTATTACCCTTAACGCCCCTGCATTTTATGAAACAAAAGCACTAATTAATTATCCATCGCATAAATAACGAGCATTTTTATAACAAGATATTTCAACTAGTATTGTATGAAAAATCATATTATAATCCAACATCTTGCAAATCTATTAGGCTAGATTTATGAAACACTTGCTAACTAGTAGTTAAAGACTATGGGTAAGAGACTTTCTTTTTAATTAGGGTTCAAACTACCAAAGAACTCTGTCTCTCACAAATTATCAAAAAAAAAAAAAAAATCCAAGTTTTTTTTTTTTTTTTTTTTTTTTTTCCTCCTAACACAAAAGAAATCAAGGGGCTTCATCAATCAAGTCTTCCATGGCGTGCCAAAGCAACACCATATTTACTTTTTTTTCAGCATCTTCGTTGTAGACAGAATATTTCATGATTGTTCACTTCATATATTCTTCAGCTTGGATCTTTTGACCCATTAAATTTTCTATTAAAAGTCATTTTCTTAAAGAAATGGCTGGCTGCCACATAAATCATCATGGAATTTAAACGTTATTATTAAAAGTAAGCTACACTAATATTAAGTGAAATTTAACATTTTTGTGTTAATTAGTTCAGTGAGATCCCTGACATGTTGACATAATTATTTCTACCATACCAAATTAATTAAAGAGTTGTTGATCAAAATAGAATATGAAAGCACCTTTGGAACCAAAGCAAATTAGTTGTGCAGCTCAAAAAAAAAAAAAAAAACAAAAAATTATGGGCACTTCTCTCTATATAAATATGCATGGATAAATAATTAAATATTGCCCGAGCACTAATTTCTATATATCAATAATTGAGAATCTTAGGCCCCGTTCATTTCACCGATTCGAGTTTAAAATTTGAGTTTTACTACAGTAAAAAGCTCTTAGAAATAGTCACATCTAATTTTTTTATTACAATAAAAAGTTCTCACATAAAATCACATCTCAACTCGAATTAAAAACTCAAATGAGCAAACTAAACGGACCATAACGTATACACTGTACCCATTCTTTTAATTATCTAATAGTCCAAATTCTTTGATTGCGAAAAATAAAAAAAGGAAACTAACTAAAATATTGGAAAAAGAGAAGTCCACTGTCATCGTGTGAATATATATATACTGTAAGCCTGTAATATCGTGTATAAATATAGCACCACAGATCCGCTTTATCCCATTCACAAGCAACACCCAATGGAAGTAATACTATTCTAAATCTCTCTCTCTCTCTCTCTCTCTCTCTCCCTCTCTCTCTCTCTCTCTCTCTCTCTCCCTCCCTCCCTCCCCTCAAAGTACTGATCTTGATCATCGCCAAAAATGGTGCTCTCAAAGACAGCTTCGCAAAGCGATGTCTCAGTCCACTCTACTTTCGCCTCTCGCTACGTCCGAACCTCCCTTCCCAGGTGATGATCACTTCTTAAATATATATACATACATATATATATATATATATATGTGTGTGTGTTTCACTCTCACATATTCACAATCTCTCTTCCTTTTTATACACAAGCGAATTAATTTTGTAATAAGAAAAACAAAAGAAATCAAGCATATTTGATTAAATTGCATACTAATTACTTCAGTATTAAAATTGCACTTTGTAATTTATTTATTTAATAATTATTAAGCAAATGCATCTATTGGAAGAAAATGAAACGATATCGATTACATAACTTCCTTCCATTCTTATTATTCTGTTGGTGATGATATGTGTAAGATTCACTTTTAATTTATTTGATTTAGTGATATTGATCTTGAAATCAATTATATAATTGGTCAAAATTAGGTTTAAAATGCCGGAGAACTCGATCCCAAAGGAGGCAGCGTTCCAGATCATAAACGACGAGCTGATGCTGGACGGGAATCCGAGGCTAAACCTGGCGTCGTTTGTGACGACGTGGATGGAGCCGGAGTGTGACAAACTCATCATGGCCTCCATCAACAAGAACTACGTAGACATGGACGAGTACCCTGTTACCACTGAGCTCCAGGTGATCCGTACCACTCTTCCACATTTTTAATAAAAAACTTTATTATCACAAGAATGTCTTTGTTAATAGTAATATTTATTTACTAACTTGATTAAACTTAGGGCATTCCAAAAAAATAATAATTAAATTACGTCTTTGTCCGAATATAAAAGTGGTACAATATTTTTTATTTTGTTATTCATAATCAGCCGTAGTCTAGGGGTGTAACAACTTCCATTGGTTGAAGTTTTAATAGGTTGTCCAGTAAATATTAAATAAATAATTAGATGCCCCGCTTGACGCGTTCTGGATTTTGTTTTTTATGTTTTTTCCTTCTCCTTTTTCTTGGTGGGGGCTAAAAAGCGTTGACGAGTTCCTTCATAATAATTAATTTAATTGTTTTTTTGATCAGTCATGTATAATTTAATTGTTGAATTTTATTGAATGACAATGACGAATTTAATTAATATAATTCCTCTTTAGTGTAATAAGTTTTTTTTTTTTCTTATAGTTTTCTTAAACACTTAAAAAAAAAATTTAAATTAACCGTGTTAAATGAATCTGCAAGACTTTGGCATGTCATGCAGCCACTCAGGGAAAAATAAAAGCACAAGTGTTAATTTCTGTATTATTTTTCCTAGGAGGAATTAGTGCAAGAATTTTGCCCCAAAAGAAAATTTCTGCTTTTATTTGCTTTAATAATTTTCTTTTCACAATAAGTTTGTTAGGATATTTTTGAGTTGTCATATATTTTTTTATGATGACAATCACAAATCTAAATTTTCTACCTTTCAAAAAAAAAAAATCTAAATTTTCTTCTAGATTTACCTGTCCAACTACTAGTTATGAATATAAAATTAGGTTAAAAATTCCTCGTTTTATAATTTCTTAATTTCGTTATTTCCTTTCAAATAATACAACTTAAACTATCATTTTTTTTATTTTTTTGCCAATCAACTTTAACTATCATTTTTTTCTAGTCTTCTAGACTTTGGTTGGATATATATACAAGATATTTGACAAATAAATATAATAACCAATTACGACCGGTATCCATTTGATTCAATTTATGCCTATTTGATGATCAAGTGGGCCATATTAATGAATAGTAGTTGGACGATATTTTTTCATCCAACAAATGGCACTTTCAGTCTTTTAATATGTAGATATAGTTTTTAATGACTTAGCCCCAATATAATTATTATTGGCACATGTACACATATATAGACATGTATCACTCGGAAATTATGGAGTCAGTGGAAGTGGCTGCAGGCAGCGATCACAATTCAATTTGTTAATTGACTGAACAAAAGAAACTCGGTAGTCAAATTACCTAACCTAAAATAATAATAAGTCATTAACTAGAAAAAAAAAAAAATTTAAGTCACTTCTTTTCTAGGGTGACCATCCTAAAATTATCTTTAATTTATTAATAATACACGCAAAATGTAGTAGAAAAAAAAAAAAAAAAAAAAAAAAAACTTCACGCAAAATGATTATTGGATCCATGCTGAATGTTCTGTGATTTATACGATGGAGTTCTTGTCATAATATATAAACTTAACACAAAACATTGAAATAAATTAATCTTCTGGTGTAAAACTCTAGAAGAATTCTAGACTCTTGACTGATGTTGGTCAAATAACCTTTGTTGTTTTTTTTTCCACCCCTCAAAAATTCTATGGATGGACTATTTCTTTTTCGCCAATCACTCAGGGATGGACTTGGTTTTCCATGGGCCCAGATGTGAAAGTTGTATAAATTATTACCAGAAACAACGGAAAAGTAATGAATGGCTGTCATTGTCTAGCTAGCTGCCTAGATGGATGCCGTGATTAGTAAGGGTATAAATCGGCCGGTAGGGTAGGATTGAGCTGAAAAATTGAGCTTATATGATCAGTGCGGGTTGAGAAAATTTTAGGCCGTGAGGTTGAGATAATTTTAGGCCGCGACACTCTCTTAAGTCTACAAACCCGTAACCTTTCGGGTGACCTCGGGTAGGGTCGGGTTACTCGAGTTGGTGAAAACTAATTTTAATCTATGACTTCATCAATTTTAATCAATTTTTAGTCAATTAATTTGTGCTTGTTACAGAAGAAATCATTATCAAACATAATATGTCTTTCCTTCAAGAGGGAGTCTAAATGCAAGGTGAACAATTAAAACACTCACTTTGAAATCAAACACTTCCAATATAAATAAAGAATGTCCTAATTCAACAACTATGGCATACAAGTATTTTTTACACAAACCGTGAATCCAAAATATAAATAAGTTAACAGTTTAAAATCATAAAGTCCATAAACTTATGAAGTAAGAATTTAAAGTTTTGGACATTATTTTACCTACTTTGAACATGTTCGGCTGGGTAGGGTTACCTCGGGTTCATGTAACTCCACCTCGCACCCCTACCCGCGCAGTGCGGGTTAGGCATAATTAAAACCGAAAATTAAATAAAAAATTAGAAACCTGTGATTTTTGAATAGAGTCGGCTTAGCTCGGCCGGATTCGTCAGGTTCGGAGTGATTTCTTACAGCTCTAGTGATTAGTTCCTTCTTTCCCCAAAACATATATATAATAAATTCGTATTTATACGTATGAATATATACACGTATATATGTGTGTGTGTTTATAGTTAGGACAATATTTGGTTGTCAATTGTAATGTTCAATTATTATGATATTAACTAAAATTTATTGATCAAAATATGACTCGCCACATGGCTTGAGGTCAATATCTAGAAAAAATTAAATTAGTATTTTCAGCCAAGAAAATAAATAAAAAATAGTACATAATTCAGAGAGAAAATAAAAAAGTATATACTTAATATTAGTATTATTCTTACTCTGTCCTGATGCTATTAATTTAATAGTATGATTGTTGAGTAAATCGAAGGGGATGGGTAGGAAGTGGCGAAGTGGGGGAGGGATCATACGGATATATGCAGGTTTATTCGGTACATATCTTGAATCTTGATTTTTTTCTTTTTTTTTGATGGTTCATGAATGTGATTGACATTTAATGCTGTTTTTGCTAATTTATATTTGAATTAACATTAGATTAGATTTACCAAAAAAAGAAAGAATAAAGTAAAAACTGGAAGAACACAAGAATAAATTGAATGATATCGATTATGTCGGTTTAACGGTAAATGCGGGGCCTTCTGAAAGGCAGCACGTTCATTGGTTTGCTGTCCAGATTTTTTTTATACGAAACGAATGAAATTATTTTTAAAAAAAAAAAAATTAGTCAATTTTATTCGTGATTAATACTTTTGAATAAATATTGGGCCCGTTTAGTTCGCTGATTCGAGTTTTTAATTCGAGTTGAGATGTGACTTTATGTGAGAACTTTTTACTGTAATAAAAAAGTTAGATGTGATTTTTTTAGAGCTTTTTACTATAGTAAAACTCAAATTTTAAATTCAAATCGGTGAAATCAACGATGTCATAATTTTTAACTAAAAAATATTAATCAAATATAAAATAAAAATTCAAAAGACATGTATTTTAAAAAGTAAAATTTTTTTTTTTTTCAAATTTTTTCAATAGGACAAAACAAATTAAAGGACCACTGGCCGCTAATATCAGCAAGTGATAGACAGCATATTCGAATCACATTCACCTATTACATGCGCGCGCGCTGAAAGAGATAATTCAGACCACTTGCACTGCATATAAAACACTACAGGTCCGTTTAGTTCGCTGATTCAAGTTTTTAATTTGAGTTGAGATGTAATTTTATGTGAGAATTTTTTACTGTAGTAAAAAAAATTAGATATGACTGTTTGTGAGAGCTTTTTACTGTAGTAAAACTCGAATTCTAAACTCGAATCAACGAAATAAACGGGACCTAAACATGTGATGATATTAAAGTACTACATCCTATTGTAATCTATAAAATCACTGGTGATCATTAATTTTTTTTTTTATAGATTTTTACGACAATACTGGAAAAAATGAACAATTAGCATATCTTAGTTTTTAAATTTATATAAAAAATTATATATTTTACATATATTTTTTTTATTTTGATATGATTTTGATCAGATTTAACAGTAAAAAATATACATTACTAATAGGAGACTCCATCATATAAAGACTTTTTTTTTAATATAGGAAATGAATGTTAAACATTATGGTGATATTAAATACTAGCTAGCGACGTGTAACATGACTAGTCATTTCCTTCAACACTAACACGAAGTTTTCATTTGGAAATTATTCGAATTTCAAGCATATATAAAATAGAGACAAACACAAATTAATATAAAGAAGTTAAGCTAATAGATAAGAGGAATCAAATAGAGAAGTTAGATTTGGTAGAAGTTAAATACAAATTCCGTGGAAATAATTTTAACGTACCTGACGAATATCTACTCCATCATTTCATGTCTTATGCATGTAGATAGTTTTGGCACCATTCTTATTGTCTTTTTGTCACATTGACAAGGCCCACATAGAAAACAAAAGTATAATTAAGTACAGGATAATAGTAAAAAAGCAATCTCTTACATGAACGACAAGTATAGTAAAACTAAAAAAAAAAACCAGTTTCATACAAAAAAAAAAAAAAAAAAAAGAGGAACGAAACGTTTCAAGAGGGCTGATTGGCGCTTTTATATATTGTTAAGATTTTCATTTTTTTTTTTTTTTTTTTTTTGTAAAATTGTAGGTATTCTATGTCTTTCTCTTATATTTTTTATATTGTGTCCATGCCCAAAAAAATTTCCTAACTCTGGCACTGGTGATAACAGAATCGGTGCGTGAATATAATAGCACATTTGTTCAATGCGCCTCTTGGGGAGTCGGAGGCGGCCGTGGGCGTCGGGACGGTGGGGTCATCGGAGGCCATAATGTTGGCTGGCTTGGCTTTCAAGAGGAATTGGCAGAACAAACGCAAGGCTGAAGGCAAGCCATATGACAAACCCAACATTGTCACCGGAGCCAATGTCCAGGTATATGATCACGTTTAGTTTATAAATTTAAAATCATGATTTAAAATTATTTTTAATTTATATTTTTTTATAAAAAAAAATACTATAATAAATTACAAATTATAATTCAAATCATAACATGAATCTTTACTCCCAAAGCAAATAGAGTGTATCTTCTTCTCATAATTGGGCCCTACGTCCAACAACACTTACATAAAAAATGCTGATATGTACACTGAGTGGGGGGCTCACGTGGGCCCCATAATCGGGACCACTTGTTGAGTCTGGTGGATATTTGTCCTCGTTTGGACTAATAGCATTGCTCTGTGTGCACGTGCCTTCATTTTCATACCCACGTGTCACTTGATTAGCCATAATTTGTTTCATCGCTTTAACTTGTACTATATGATAAATTAGCTTACAATCTACGGTAATAAAATAATAACAACAACAATATAAAAGAGTAAGAGTAAGAACTGTGCTGCCCTTGCATGTGAGAGCTATACTATAATTAGGAGTTTTATTTTTAATTGAAACTTCAACTTGTTTCATCAACACTTTAATTAGTCTTAGAATTTGTTCTCTGATTAAATAGAAGAAATTTATTGATGAATTTTAAGTATTTCCTGCTTCAGTTATTTCATTTCTCTTTTCACATTTAACATTCTTGTATCTATTAAAAAACACTACTTTTGCGTCTCTTAACAGAAATGCAAAAGCTATTCTCACAACGAGAGGCACAACAAAAAAAGGGACTTTTTTCTACTAATAATTAGCTTAGTGCATACTTTTTTTTTTTTTTTTTGTAAATGAATTTATTAGTAGATGTCGTGAAACCTCTGGAATTTTCAGAACAATTCTCACAGTAAGATAACTGGATCACAACATCACACACACGGAATAAATCAAAGAGAAAAATGAAAAATCAAAACAGAGCTTATTTTCATTAATGGCAGATCAAAATAGTACACCCTCTAGAGTTTTTTCTCTCTCCTCTAGAGTTTCTCTCTCTATCTTCTCTCTCTAACAAAAACTACCGAATTGACAACTAATCCAAATCTGCTATTTTATCCCAGATTTTAGCTCTACAGTATTATTCCTATATACTACAGCACATAGTAATCACGTAGACTTGCCCACGTGTGTTTGGTAACCATGTAAACTTGCCCACGTGTCTTTGTTTCATTTCCTTCCTCTGTTGAGCTGTTAAAATCCTAGCCACTTTTACAACAATTCTCCACCTTGGCTTGATTTTAACCTGTTTTCTTCTTATAATCTGCTACCCGAAGTAACTCTAAGACCTCGTTCACTTTGTAAATTCGAGTTTTTAATTTGAGTTGAGATGTGACATTTTCTAAGAGCTGAAGATTAGCTTTCCAGCTCATGGTATTACCACAAAACTCAAAGATATATCCAGTTTGAGACCTCCTGGTATCTAAATAACCAGCATAGTCTGAATCAAAAAAACTTGTCACCAAACTGATGTCTTTGTCCTGCCTCTGATACAACAAACATTTCCCAGCTGATCCTTTAAGATATCTGAAGATCCATTTGACTGCTTCCCAGTGTGACCTCCATGGTTTCCCCATATACATACTGACAACGCTTACTGAATAGGCCAGATCTGGATGTGTACAGATTATGGCATACATTAAAGGTTCGTTTGGTTGGAGGATTCAAATAATGTGATTCGAACCATTTTCGATTTACGTGTATTTTTTGTGAGAAAATACTGTAACGAATCACGAATCATGATTCGAATCCCTCTACTAAACGCCCCCTAAGCTCCCCACAGCATTGATATAAGGTATTCTCAGCATATATCTTTCCTCTTCAGAAGTTGGTGCATCTCTTAGTGAAAGTTTGAAATGTTGCCCCAATGGTGTCAAAACAGGCTTAGACTGATCCATATTGAATCTTTTTAACACTTTCTCAATGTAACTACGTTGAGACACAAAAAGTGTTCCCTCTGACCTGTCTCTGATCATCTGCATGCCTAAAATCTTACTTGCAGGCCCCATCTCCTTCATTTCAAACTCACCTTTAAGTTGTTCCTTGACCAGCTTGATTTCTTCAATGTCTTTACAAGCTACTAACATATCATCCACGTAGAATAACAAGTAAATGACTCTACCTTTTGAAATCACTTTGTTGTAAACACAGTTGTCATGTGCACTTCTGAAAACCACTTTTGAGCATGAATGAGTCAAATCTTTTATACCACTGTCGTGGTGATTGCTTCAAACCATAAAGGGATTTCTTTAACAAGCAAACTAAGAGGGGCGGCAAGCCGTTATTGAGGCAGGTTTATGTTAGGAGAAGTAATAAGGGATGACGTGGACTTGTTAGTGTTATTACTGTATTAGTTGCTGATTGTACATTGTGGTGTGTAATAAAGAGAGGTATAAATAGGTGAGAGTTAGAGGATTGAGATAGGAAATTACTGGAGTGGAAAGGAAGACTCGGCTGTGGCTGTTCTGGAGAAGGAAAATCCTTCAGTAGTTTGTATTCTCTCTTTGTGGATTAATAAAGATTTCTTCTTTCATTCTTTAGATCGTTCGTAGAGCAAGAATTGTGTAGAATCTATCAATTTTGGTATCAGAGCGTCGATTCTGGCAAGAAATGGCAGCTAGGAAAATAGAGGAGAGGTTAGAATTGGTGGAGAAAGAGATAAAGGAAGTTAGGGTTTCCATGGAGAAGGGAATGGGCGAAATGGAGAAGGGTCTCAAAGAAATTAGGGTGGAATTGTCCCAGAATAGGACTGATATGTCCGAGATTCACCGATTAATAGAGGAACAGATGAAACTTCTTTCGTCTGCCACGTCGGTGCCGGAGAAGACGGTCGCGACAACCGCCGAAGTCATACACGGATTAAACTGCGCCGGAGAAGGTCGCGAGTTGAATCGCGCTGGCGATCGCGGACCCGATCGCGTCGCCGAAGATCGTGAAGCGATTCGCGATGGAGATCGCGCGGGATTTCATGCCAGTGAGACTCGAGAGGCAAATCGAGCCGGTGAAAGAGGAGAAATATGTTTGGGTGAGGAAAGATCGCTCAACCCTAGGGTTACTCAGCCGGTGATGTTTCCGGCGGTGGATCTTGGTTGGCGAGAACAAACCTCCGATCGCGCGATCGAGGGGAGGAATCCACGTAATCCAGGTCGCGAGGTAAGAGAGGAGGGACGAGGGGTAGCGAGAGGGCCTCCGTGGGGATTTCAGGGAAAAAATGTGAACGTACATCGAGTTGAGGGGTGAGGCTCGTACATGGAGGGTGAGTCTCTGGAGTTTGATGACCGGCGTTTTGGGACAGGATTTCCTGTTCATCGAGGGGCAGAAAGGGGACGTTACGGAAACGTAGGAGATAGAGGCAGAGAAAATTGGGAGGGCAGAGGAGTGCTAGAAGAGCTGCCGGTTAATGAAGACTGGGCAGGCCTTCGTAGGAGGCAGGTAGAGTGCCCGATTTTTGGGGGAGAGGATGCGGATGGGTGGTTGTTCTGTATGGAACAATTTTTTTCCATAAATCGATGCTCGGACAGGGAGAAGCTCATCACAGCGGGAATTTCTTTGGAGGGGGATGCTCTGTCGTGGTTCCAATGGCAGAATGGCCGTCGGCCCTTCCATAATTGGTCAGATTTTAGGGTAGCTCTACTGCAAAGATTCCGCTCCTCGCAGGAGGGCAACCTTTGCGAGCGGTTTCTGGCAATAAGGCAAGGGGGAACGGTTGCTGATTACCGTAGGCAGTTTGAGATATCAGCGGCTCCACTAAGGGATGTGCCAGAGGAAGTATTGGAGGGAATTTTTGTTAATGGACTCAAGGCGTCAATTCGGGCTGAGGTGAGGCTCTTGAAACCGGTTGGATTAGGGGAAATCATGGAGATTTCCCAGAGAATTGAGGAAAGGAATGATTTGCTGCGGAGGGAAGGGGCTGAAGCGAGGTTTTCCCGATCACAATTTCAAAGTATTCCGAGGACTGAGACTGCTACAACCGTGGTCCGGACGTTGCTGGCGGTGGAGAGGCCACAGCGGGTCCCCACAGTGTTGGAGAAATCGACAACACAAAGAAGGGATTTTCCTTTCCGTAAGCTTTCCGATTCAGAGTTGCAGGAAAAAAGGGATAAAGGACTGTGCTTTAGGTGCGATGAGAAGTTTGTTTTTGGCCATCGTTGTAAGAAGAAGGAGCTTCGGATAATGTTGGTTAGTGATGAGGACGCCATCGATGGTGAAGAGGATGATACCAATTCACCGGGCTCGGATTGGGAGGAGGGGCAGCCGGAGCTTATTGAGTTGTCCTTGAACTCAGTGTTCGGTCTTTCGACACCAAAGACAATGAAGCTCCGAGGAATAATTGCTAAACAAGAGGTAATAGTATTAATTGATTCCGGTGCAACTCATAATTTCATTTCATTGAGTTTTGTGGAAAAAGTTATGATTCCTATTGCACCTACTGCAGGTTTTGGGGTACAATTGGGGACGGGGGAATCGGTAAAAGGGAAAGGAATATGTAAGGAGGTGGCATTGACATTAGCACACTTGACCATAGTAGAAAACTTTTTACCGCTTGAATTAAGGGGGTGGATGTTATATTGGGCATGCAATGGCTGGAAACATTAGGTGGAGTGCATGTAAATTGGAAATCGCAGATTATGAAATTCAGGGTAAGAGGGGAGACAGTTACATTGAAGGGTGATTTGAGTCTTTCGACCGCAATGATCTCGCTTAAGGCCATGTATAGAACCATCAAGCATGAGGGCCATGGCATCTACTTAGAACTAAGTGCCGTGGATGCCAATACTGGGCCGGATTTAGGGGAAGAGGTAGTTCTGGATCAGCAATTTCAGGGGGCGGTTAGCGGGGTTTTGCAGCGACACTCGAAGGTTTTACACATGCCGGAGGGCCTTCCTCCCAAACATATGCGGGATCATCGCTTCATTCTACAGGAGGGTACCGGCCCTATTAGTGTTAGGCCTTATAAGTATCCTCATTTTCAGAAGAATGAGATTGAGAAATTGGTGAGAGAGATGCTT